ACGTGGTGCTGTGCCTGCTGGCGGCCGACGAGGACGACGACAGGGACGTGGCGCTGCAGATCCACTTCACCCTGATCCAGGCGTTCTGCTGCGAGAACGACATCGACATCCTGCGCGTCAGCAACCCGGGCCGCCTGGCCGAGCTGCTGCTGCTGGGCGCCGACCCGGGCGGCGCGGGCGCTGCGCAGCCCCCGGACCTGCACTGCGTGCTGGTGACGGTGAGGCCCGGGCTGGGCAGGGCGCGCGCGGGCGGGTGGGGGGAGAGGGGCCAGAGCGGGGACAGCAGGCAGCCGCCTCTGCCCCCTCCGTGAGCAGGCGGACTTTCAGCCGAGCAGGGCCGGTGTCATCATCGGGACTTTCTGGGGACAGAACATGTCTAAGCATGCTGGCCGGTGCCCAGCGGAAGGCTGTGAGTCAGCAGCGCCCAGCGACTCCCCACCTAGCTCGCACAGGCTCGCGTGACTAATTCCTTTAGCAGGGCAGATTAGATAAAGCCACAGAAATTCCTGGCTCACCCCTGAGTAAGAAGCCGGCCTGGTCCCCTGCCAGGCCATGCTAAAAATAGGACGGGTGTAGGAGACAGACCTGTGCATTCCCCAGGAGTGCATTCAGAGGCTAAGGCGGAGGGATTTTGCTTGTCAGTCTTGCACTTTCAATGGACTTTTACGCTCTTGTTGGCAATCCCCGGAGGGAGGGTGGGCGGTGTGTTTTTGGAGTTAAATGTGCTGGCGTGGTCTTCCGGATGTCACTCCTCTCTGACCGGCTTCGGGGAGCAGCAGCCCGCTATTCTGCACTCCTGGAAAGAGCTGCTCTGTCCTTTTGGGAGGATAACAGGTGGCAGTGCCGGTGAGCGGCTTTGTGTCCCGGGCTCCGCATGCACGGGGTGTGGGATGGATTTCACAGTGGTTTTGCTTGTTGTTCAGGGCGCAGGTCCCGCAGGCAACCCCGTGAGTGGGACTCCAAAACCGAGCAGATGCCTCTGCGGCCCATCTGCGGGCCCGCGGCAGGCAGAATCTGCAGGGGGCAGCGCTGAGGATCTGGCAGAAATTCAGCTGCCCGGGATGTGCTTGGCTTTTTGTGCCCTGGTCCAGTGCCCAGCGTGTAGAATGCCCCGATCTTCCCGCCAGAAGCGGTGGGGACTAGCAACGGCTGGCTGTGTTTACGGGGAATTGAAATTGACCTCTGCATCCTTGTTCCCAGAATCCGCACGCGTCGAAGTGGAAGGACCCGGCCCTGAGTCAGCTCATTTGTTTTTGCCGGGAGAGCCGGTACATGGACCAGTGGGTCCCGGTGATCAACCTCCCCGAGCGGTGATGCGGCCCCCGCGAGGACCGAGCCGAGCCGCGTGGCGCGGAAGTTTGGAAACACCTTTGTAGTTACTGCGCAGTTACCCCGCACGGACGCTGGATTACGGAAACTGAGGCCGAGGGGCTGAGGGAGCTCGGCTGCTCGTCCTGGGGGCCGCAGTGGTAGAAGACTTTGGAGACACGTGGAGGAGAGGGGGGGAGGAGCCGCGTGGAAACCGAAATCCGAGTTGGAAGGAACGAAACTCTGAAAGATCCGAGCTGGAGGCAGGCTGTGTGCATTTAGGACGGCCTCGTTCCGCTAAACCCAGCCACGCGTGCTCTGCCCAGTTCAAACGAGCTGCCCTGGTCTGGGTATTTAGGGTTCCTACGCGCTCAAGGAAACCCGCACGGGGTTCATATCACCTTCAGACCGTATTTGATGAGATGTTAAATTCTCAAAAGTTTTATTGTAAATTGCACTAAGTTATTTTATGATGTGAAAGATTATTTATGCTATTCAAGTTTTTGAGTCACAATACCTGAATAAAGCAGTATGGAATAATTGCGTCCTTTCTCCACGCCTGCTTCTGTCCGTTCTAACTCAGACTTTATTTCTGTTATTTTTTATTAGTACACATTTGAGGCACAGACATTTTGCTGCTGCCCTCCTCTATGTGAGGTTAGGAAACTCATCCAAATGTCATTTAAGGCCCAGGCGGGGAGGCTCACACCTGTAATACCAGCTCTTGGGAGGCTGAGGCGGGAGGATCACTGCTTAAATTTGAGGCCAGCCTGGGCTACATAGTGAGACCCTATCTCAAAAAAGAAGTCACTTACGGGGCTGAGGCTGGGGTTCGGGAGAAGGAATCGTTAGGGATTCAACCTGCAAGATCCAAATAAACATTCCGTGATGTCAGTGGTGTTAGAAGATTTCACGTGACGCATTGTGGAAATCTAGAGGCATTTCCAAAGCCACCTGCAAGATGGGTGAGACTTTTACCAAAGAATTTATTTATTATTTTTTTTATTTGAGACAGGATCTCACTATGTAGCCCAGGCTGGCCTCAAATTTGAGCAGTGATCCTCCTGCCTCAGCCTCTGAAGTTCTGGAATGACAGGGCTGTGCCACTGTGCCCAGCTCTGTTATATTTCTCTAGCTGGAGAGGAGGAAGATGTTGAGCCAGCAGCTGCCCCTCTGCAGGACTGTCGGGCCAGAAGGAGCACGGCCCGTTGAGGGGACCGTGGCTGTGCCCTGGTGTGGGCAGATAAGGGGCGAAGTCTGTCTCTCCCTGGCTCTGGGGCTCCCTGGGCCCTGTGCTGCCTGCAGAGGCCTTGGTGAAGCGGGTTCTGCCGTTGTGCTGCGGGGCGAGCAGGTCAGGGCACTGGGTCCTGGGAGGAAAGGCTCGGGCAGTGACGTGCGGCTTCCCCGGGCGCGCGCCGGGTGCGGAGTCTCGCCGGGCTCTGTGTTCAGCATTGCTGCCCCGGGCCTCGGGCCTGGTTACACCAGGGCAGCGGGCAGAGGAACCGGGGAAGAGGCGCAGGACGAAAGGCTGCGGGGGAGCCATCGCCCCTGTGCGGGACAGTCCGCCGGGGAGGGCCGAAGGCAGCAAACTGCAGCGCCCTGGCCGCCTGCCTGCTCTGCACCTCAGGACCGCGAAAAGCCGGGAAGGAGAAAGCAGCCGCAGAGCCGTGTCACCCGCTTCCCAGCTCTGCGCCTTCGTGCCCGGTGCAGAGGTGGGCGCGGGTCAGCAGCTGTGGGCTGGTGCAGTCCAGAACAGCTGGGCAGGCGCTGGCTTTTCCGTTACCACGGGACTAAGGGCAGCGAGTGTTACACGGGATTTCTTTATTCTGTTTTGTGTCATAAGACAGGCGCTCACTATGTAGCGCAGACTGGCCTCGAACTCATGGCAATCTTCCTGCCTCAGCCTCCCAAGAGCTGGGATTACAGGCATGTACTAACAACCATGCCTGGCTCTAAACAGTGGGATTTTTAACCTTCTTATTAAAGACAGGGTTCTTAATCCCTTTTCTTTACTACTATGATTAAAACCCTTCTGCCATGGGGCATGAAGGCCCACAGCCTGGTGGTTACGAGGTGGGCCGAGCGGAGACAACAGGGGCTGAACTGACATGAAGTAAGGGAACGAACAGAAATGATGAACCCAGGGCCATGGGTATCGGTCTGGGGTGGACGTGCACTTAGCGTGCACTGAGTGTGCAAGGGGCCCTGGGACCGATCCCTTTGCTGTGAAAATCACAGCAGTAATAATAGATGGCGTGATGGCGCACACCTGTCATTCCAGCACTTGGGAGGCTGAGGCAGGAGGACCACCGAGACTTTGAGGGCAGCCTGAGCTCCATAGCGAGACCCTGTCTCAAAACAACAACAACAAATTCTCTCAGGGTCTTTTATTAAAAGCCAGGTGATTGCAGGAGGAGCACGTGGCCGGCCCGGGCCGTGACTCCTTACACAGGAGCCTCCGTCACTGCGAAGGAGTTGTCCTCGGCCCTCAATGCGCGGTGTTTGGAGGGGGCGGCCGTGCGCGCTGTGGACTGCCCTGTCTGTGGGGTCTCAGCCCTCGGCCGGGCTCCCGTGGGGGGCTGTCTTGCTCCTCTTTCCTGACTGGACAGAGCCTGAAGTGAGTGTGGCGTGGGCAGCCGAGCGGGAGAAGACGAGGGCAGGGCACCCAGGTTCAGGGCGGTTGGTCAACGCTGATATTCTGCAGCAGTTGCTTTGAAACCCGCTGACTGTTGCCTCAGGACTGGGGAGGCTGAGGCAGGAGGACTGTGAGTTCGAGGACGGCTTGGGCTGTGCTGCAAGACCCTGGCTCCAAATAGGAAGGAGAAGGGCTGGGGGTGAGCTCGGGGTCCCGAGTCTGCGTGGGGCTCTGGAGTCGACCCCCAGGGCACGAGCACCCGGGAAATAGTGCAGCGCCTCCGTGCACGACTGGACCCCAGCCGGGGCCCTCTGGCATTCTTGGGACCAGGACCTCTGCCGTCGGGGACAGGGACAGGGCGGCGACACACAGGAAAGCCGGGCTGCCTGGGCCTCCAGACTCCAAGCAAGGAGCCCTGTCTCGAGCTGCAGGGACAGAAGGTGGCCCAGGGTGGTCCTGCGGGACTTCAAAGAGCAAAAGCCCCAGGCAGACAGGGCCAGCGAGGAGAATGGGGGCGGCTCTTTGATGTGAAACGACCATTGTTCTGTGCAAATGGTACACAAATCCATGACTGACTGGTTGGCTGATTGACTGATTGATCGACTGACTGACTGACTGACTGACGGCTTGGCTGACTGAATATCACCCTGCTGGCATCAGCAGAGACCACAGAGATGGAGCTGAGGGAGCGTTTGCCTGGAAGGAGTTTATAATCAGCCAGAAATCCTGAGAAGCCCATTGGTGCCTCAGGCCATTTGCCCTTTATGGAGTGTGTGTGTGTATGTGTGTGTGTGTGTGTGTGTGAGAGAGAGAGAGAGAGACCCCCGGGGTGTGCGCCCAGCACAGGTGGAGAAGCACAAGTCAGTGGCACTCCAGGATGCCACCGTGGCCACTGGAGACCCATCAGCACCCACCCGCCCTGGGAAGTAGGTGCTGCCCTGTGCTTTTTGTTGGTGCTGAGGACGGAGCCCAGGGCCTTGGCACTGAGCTGCAGCCCCGGCTCTGTATTTTAACTTCTGTTTTGAGACAGGGTCTTGCTATGTTTCAAAGTTGCCTGGGCTGAGCTCAAACTTGGGACCCTCCTGCCTCAGCTTCCCAGAGTGCTGGGATCACAGGCATGCGCCACCTCGCCTGGCTTACTGTCTCCACTCCGAAGGCGAAGAAGATCGCAGAGAAACCCATCTGCCCAGAAGCCTCCTGTGGCTGGGAGCGGGATGGGGGTGAGGGGCAGCCCTGGCCCCAGGCGGGTGAGGAGGGACAGGACCCAGACTGGACCTGCTGCCATCACAGACAGCTGTTTCGAAGGGACTGCGGGACCATGGCTGGCGCACAAGAGCAAGCCTGGGGTCCATCCCAGCTCCACCAGGCAAAAGAGACTTAAAAACCGGTGAAGATAGGTGTGGCGGTGCAGGCCTATAATCCCCGCCCTCTGGGGGTGCTGAGGCAGGAGGGTCCACAATTCAAGCTCAGGTGGGGCAATTTAGCAATGTGGTAAGACCCTGTCCCGACAAACAAACAAGTGCTGGGGAGATAGTGCAGTGCAAAGGGCCTGGGTCCAGCTCCAGGCTCACAAACACAAATGTATACGTAAGAAATGGAAACTGATTGCTGAAATCGAGGAGAGAGGCGGCCAGGATGGCCACAGGAGCCGGGGAAGGCCCACGGTGTTGGGGTCCTCACAGGGCCAGGAGCTGGGAGCCAAGGGAGTTGGTCCACATGGAATTGGACAGCTTTAAAAAGTCAGCTGTCAGCTGGCTGTGGAGGTGCTCCCCTGTCATCCCCACACTGAGAGGCTGAGGCAGGAGGATCCCGTTGAGTTCGAGGCCAGCCTGGGCTGCATAGCAAGACCTTGCCTCAAAAAACAAAACAAAGCAAAGCAAAGGCAGTTGTCAATGTGAACACATAGGCATATTTCAAGGATGAGTCCTGATTTCTGTCATCTTGAACAGAACTGGTTCTGTCCTTCAATGTTGTACATGCGGACAAATTTTACTATAAAAGAAATTACCAGGGCTGGGGATGTAGTTCAGTGGCACGGCACCTGCCCGGCAAAGGCAAGGTCGTGAGTTTGATTCCTGGTACCAAAAAAAAGGAAATAGAAATTACCAACTGGGGGCCATTCCTTTCTTCATTTGCTTGTTTGTTTTGAGACAGAGTCTCTCTGTGTGGGAAGGGCTGGCCTCAAACTCCTAGCTATCCTCCTGCCTCAGCCTCCCGAGGGCTGGGATTACTGGGTGTGCACCACCCCACGTGGCCTCCAGCTCTTTCTGGCTTAAAGTTCATTCCTTTCCCTTCTAAGCAACTGAGGCTCAGAGCTGTCAGGACAGCTCCAAGTTTGTATGCGAGCAGCCGGGAGAGAACCTTCCTGCAAAATCACCCGCAGCTGGGTGGCTCTGACAGCCCCAAGGAGGCCAGCCCGGGCAGCTGAGACTAATTGCCTCTAATCTCTCACTGATCTGGTGTGACGAGGGCAGCCTCAGGGAACACAGCACATGCCTGGGGCATTCCTGTCCCTGGTGCCGACCCCATGGGGCAGGGAGCGCTGAGCTTCTGTGCTAACATCTCTGTCTCTGGAGCTCGTGTTGGAGCAAAGGCCGGCTTGGAGCAGCAGCAGCCTCGCATGGCCAGTGAGCAGGGCTCCGCCGGCGGCCCCTCGTCCTCGGCCGGAAGTGGCCGTCTGGAGACAAGCCTGGTGATCCTTCTGCTCCGGTGCACAGCGGCTGAGGAGGGGTGGGGGCTGCAGAAGGCAGCGGAGCCTTCCTGAGCCCGGGCTTCTCCTGTAGAAGGGGTGCAGAGCCAGGCGTGGCGCTGCACGCCTGTTATCCCAACACGCCTGAGGCTGAGGCAGGATTGCCTGGAGGCTGGTGTGGGCTACAAAATGAGCTTGAGGTCAGTTTGAGCTACATAGT